TTTGCTTCCAAAAGATGATTTGTGCCCGTCCAAAAGGGCCCTTTAAAAAAAGACGAATGGAATATTTTTGATCTTTATGCCCCCAAACTCAAAAAAAACTCTTTCTACAAGATAGACAAGACATGCATCCACGGGTGGATGTCCAGGGCCACTGCCGAGTTGCTCCCAACCTCCACCTTTGCAGACTTCTGACCCCAAATGAGCTGGTATAGGCTCTAGTGGACAATCGCAAAAAAAAAAAAAAAAAAAAAAAAAAAAATGGATGGATAAATACATTTTTGCTTGCCTTGATTTGTGTTATGGTGTGTAGGCCTGTTTGTGTTAGAATGCATGTCTTGTGTCCAAATGTCATGTTTATGAATATGATGTCACACATTATTTTCTGGTTTCAAAGCCACCTTTTTTTTCTAAATGAAACCAGCAGCATTCTTTATTTGCCCGTAGACACAGATTAAGGGAAGAGCTAAACGTGTGAAGGTAAAGTAGAAGAGGACCAATCTGAAATACGAAGAACGGGAACGCAGGAAGGGACAAAAAAGAAAATGAATCATTGATTTACCCACAATGCCATGCACTGAAGTAGCACTGGAGTCGCTCATTCCCAGCACATTATGTGAAAGGTAATTGCATGCTCAGGAAGTGACTAAATTATCACCTGCGGCGATGACTCACATATGATGTGAGCAGACGACTTTGTCCAATGTGAATTCACACAGACAAATGTTTCTTTGCTGCGTGGTGACTGGGATTTGTAGGATGACATCTCACTATTTAAACCAGGGGTGTCAAACTCCGGTCCTGGAGGGCCGCTGTCCTGCATGTTTTCCAAGTCTCCCTGTTGCAACACACCTGATTCAAATGAACAGGTTCAATGTCAGGCTTGCACAGGGCTTGCTGATGATCTGATCATTTGAATCAGGTGTGTTGCAACAGGGAAACTTGGAAAACATGCAGGACAGCGGCCCTCCAGGACCGGAATTTGACACCCCTGAATTTTAAACCATTTGGAAAACGGTGGTTAGGCTTCCTAAAACCCATTTCGACCATAAAAAAAAAAAAAAAAAAAAGGACAAGCTTGGACATGCCAAATTAAAAACAGGGCTCCAGAGATTCTCTCAAGTTGGCTTTTTCTTCAGTGACAGATGACAAATGGCTGGACAGGTAGCTATGGTCACGCCTCTTCATCAATTAATTAAGCGATGTGAAGTTGGATGATTGATCCCCAATTTTAATTGGTCATATTAGCAAGACATTTCGGATAATTGTACGTAACTGAATGGGAACAGTTTCGGGAAGTCCGGTTTCTGTTCCAGTGCACCAAGCAATGTCCACCAAGGCATGGTTGGATGAGTTTGGTGTGGATGAACTTGCACCGAAAATTTACCTCATCCCCATCAAACACCCTTGGGATGCACTACGGCTACCGTTGCCGAGAAAAAAAAAAGTATTAAAATAAAATCACAAATTAGAACATGAAATGTTTTTGACAGGCAGTAGAAGCTCAACTCTGCAGATTTCTCTGCAGAAACCAATTATCCCTTCTTTTCTCCACCCATTTTCACGCATGGCACCCCTCGCATGGCCCCCCCCCCCCCCTCCCCGGGCACGCACACACAATCAGACCCACTTTTTTGTCAGCAGCCATGTGTGCACACTGAGTCTAAAATTAGCATGCAGTGTGTTGAACAACAAACAGGCTGCAGGGAAGAAGACGTGCTGGCAAAAGAGTCTGATGACAAACGGCAGTGAGAGCGAGAGAAAAAGAAAGAGAGTTGAATGACTACATTTATGTCGGAAATAGCAACAAATGATACGACCGCATCAGCGTCTTTCATGTCATTACTTCAAAAACACAACGGCCAGTTTAAGTTTCCGCATTTTGTGTCATTTTACTAGCATCGTTTTAGAGCATCATCAAGGTTATTTCAATCATACTTTCAGAGTTCCTGTATTTTTTTCTTTATAAATTACATTGCAGTGATATTTCACTCCATTTGTCTTTGCGTTTCGCTTTTTCTTGAACATTTCTGCCGAAAGAGTCAGAAAGCTTCATACAACAGGGATGATGTCAAACTCTTGTTGTCTCTCTTTCACTACACCCGTACACATACAGTATATGCTGCACAACACACCTTCGGCATTTTCTTTTATCTCACCTCCATTAGTCACAAAAAAACTCACTAGTGTATTTTTTTTTGTTCATTCTGAAATGCCATGAGATGGTGCCAACGCACTGCCTAATTAGACGAAAGGCTTCTTTCTGCTTGCGACCGCACGGACGTCACAGTGTGGCGCACTTTGCCTTTAACTCGCACGCAACCTTCGTTTGAAAATATGGTGCAGTTTTACTCCAAGTCGGCGGGTGTTGCTATGGCTGATTTTGGCGAGGACACCGCCGCGTGGAGTTTCTTCGAAATCTGTTGGCCTATTCCGGTCGCCGTTTTTACTTGGTCGAACAACGAACCAAGTGACAGCGACAAAAATGGAGATCACGTCTGCTCGGGCAAAGGGATTTGGACGACTAGATGATGTATTTAATTGTATTGCGAAATCAATTGGTCTTGAAGCTAAACAGCTATAATTTCACTTGAAAAAGAAACAATTAACTGCGTATGGACTGAGTACGGAATACAGCATGAAGATGTTTTCCCTAAATCAGTTTGGTTTGGATTTTTTTAAGTTTCGGTGTTTATTCTTCAACCAACGTGTTTGAATTGGAAAATTAAAGATCACTGATAATGTCACCTATTTGTATTTGATTTAAATGTAATTTAGGCAGGATTTAGTTGTATTTTAAAACAGCTCTGACACGACAGTATATGCAGAAACTTTCCATTTCCATACACCCAAGGCACTTTGGTTAAAAGCGGCCATGCTTTTTTTGCTTGGATGACTTCACTAATGGAGTGGGTCTAATATTCCTCGGCATGAAGATGGTTGCTCAAGACACAAGCAAATATAATTTCATCAGTTTGCATTACAACAACGGGCTGCTAATGTGTTTCCCATCTTTGGTCCCAAGTTAGCAGATACAGACTGAGTGCTCCGTTTATTATTGACTCCATTTCGATGTGCTGCTCTGTGAACTGTCAAACTTCAATCATCTGGTTGTAACCATTTGCTTTTGCTCAGAGTCTTTTCTAAACACAACAACATAAACACCGATGTCAAACCTAAGATAGAATACAAAGCACAGACAGCACCACACGAGACAACATCACTTGCAAAATGTCTAGACTGTTCTCCTTACAAATCTTGCATATACTGTAAATAAGCTCAATACATTTAGGAGAGAATAGTTTTAAAAGCCGCAGAGTTTATCTGCATATCTAATTCCTGCATGAAATTATTTAAAACAAATAATGTTAAGTTTGACCGAGAAAAGCGATATGCGCGATATGGATTTTACCACACGTTGCAATTTATAGCGGTTGCTAAACTTAACCATCAGTTCATAAGTACCATGAAATACAATACTATATTACATACATTATTATTATTATTATTATTCATGTTATGCTTATCTATGTGTGCCCTGCAATTGGCTGGCGATTGGATGTTGAATAGTGTCCATGTCAGATGCAGAGGCATCACACCTGTTGGCGATGTGGGTGTTCAAGCACCTACTGTCCACTTTTCCCAGTGAAAGGGGTCAACGCCTACGCTTTTCCAGCTGTTAGTTATTCAACGACCAGCTTTCACAAATGAAGCTTTCAAACATCTTTCCCAGGTGTCATTTTTCAACAACAACAACAAAAAAAAAGAACCGCAAATGCATCAGGGCGTGTGGGCGTTTAAAAATTCCTCATCCATATTCATAAGAGCAGATTCTCTCGCAAAATGTTATCCATTTAAAATGTTGAAGTGACAATCGCAGCACCCAACGATAGAAATGGGTTCAATGCGATTCATCCATGTTTCGCAAGAGGCAAGTGCTTCCTGTAAAGCACAGTTGAGCTCCAAAAATGTTTCTTCGTGATGATGGACACATTTGCTGTTGTTAACCTCCATATGTTAGTCCACGTTGTATAATACATGCAGGCCGGTCTAACTACAATTCCAGGTCAAAACCACAAAATAACAGCAAGAGCCACGTCACTAATAAACTACACGCTGACATAATTAAAACAAGTGTAATCTCTGGCTGATCCCCCTAATTGGCATCACTCGACTCCGCTAAATGCTATCTGATGTTATGACATGACAATTTATGGATGCAAGTAGCACTTATTAGATTAGAAGGGCGAGGCGACAAAGATGCTAAAGGCTCTTTTCAAATTTCTAACTTAAACCAGCATAAAACAATTCCCGGTTAGGTTGTATGACAGTAATGATTCACACTCAATGACACAGACCAATCAATAGATTGAAATACTGTACTACAACTGCTACTACTACTACTACTACTAGGTTTTGTTTTAGAAGTTTCAGTTTTCATGCAGTATTGTTATTGGCGGTATTGTTAGTCCGGGGATCTGTTTCACAATGAGTGTTCAACAAACTCTGTGTCTAATGCTGAACTGTGGGTTGATTTACTCTGCAATAGGAAACCTTGAATTTCCGGTTCCAGAACAGCAGATTTGAATCAGTTTAATCAACTCGGAGTGTCTTTGCCAGAAGATAAGCAAGCACGTGCACCACGACTATGAAAAGACAGCATCAATGGATGCCCGATTTGAGGAGTCACCATAGCAACGGGGTAGAGGAGGGCTGCGTTTTTCACTCCAATAGAGCTGGAAATGTTATTGCACTCATACAGCGAGTTTAAACACATTTTCAGGAAGAAGTGCAAGCTGCTAAAGGGAGGGAGACGGCGTGGGAGAACATTGTTGTTCGGGTCAATGCAAATTTGAGTGACCTCCCTTTTTGAGACCCAAAGTTTCCCTCATTTTAGGATTGAAACATTTGGAGTTATTGCTCAACCCGCTTTGTGAAATGGACCCCAGGTTTGACTTCATTCTCTGAATCACCAGGACAGGACACAAATAAGCGTGACCTACCTCAGTGAGGTGTGGGTTGGGGTTGAATCCGCACTGGTTACACACAGTGGCTTTACACTGCGTGCAGGTGTTGTAGTTGGGCACAGCTGGTGGGTTGGAGAGCTCTGTGGTGGTGCACACTGGACACAGTTTGCTCTTTGGCATGGGCGCGATCTGTGGCACAGAGTAGGGTGAGGTGGGTGTCATGCCGCGGTCCGGCGACACCGAGGGGGATCGGCCCGTTCTGGAGCCGCCCGAACTGTTGAAGTCGACTTGCAGGTTTCGTCGGGAGGCATGCTGGCCGGGACTCTGTCCTGCATGGGCGCCTATGCCGCCGGTACCAGCTGGGCTGTGACTCATCCCGTGGGTGGAGCCCTGCCCCGTGCTGGACCCCTGGCCTGGCTGCACGTGACGGGGGGAGGTTGGAGTGTCATGGGTCGCCAGGCGATAAGGCTCACCGCTTCGAGAGCCTATTCCACCTCCAGTGGCCAACCCTCCTCCCATCCCGCCTCCCATTCCGCCTCCCATTGCACCTCCCATTCCTCCACCCATTCCACCTCCCATTCCTCCACCCATCCCACTTCCTATACCTCCCATCCCTCCTCCCCCTGGAACTCCTTGTTGCATGCCAGGTTTGGGGCTACCCATCTGAGCCATTGGTCCCCTGGAAGAGAAGAAAAAGAAGACAAGAATTAGAAATCGGGCCCTACTTTGGTAGAGTGGCGGCAGTGCACTCTGCATCCAAATGGGCAACTTAATTTTCATTGTGACGCAAGTCCAGACTACAGTACTGTGTTTGGGGAATTGTTGTGCCTGTCGAGGCGTTCCGGCTCTCGACTCATCTGACAATTTGGTAACAGAAAGTCGTCTGTGCTCAGCGTATAAATGGTCGTACAGGTGCAAGGCGAGATCCAATGGCCCACATCACATGTATGGTCAACTTTGTCATCCGCAAGGGGAGTTCTTGCAGTTTAACTGGCAATGTCATGCATGGACTCCAGCGACTCTATTTTTGTTTTCCGCAATGGCAAGCATGGCGTGCTATGCTCCGACTGGCCTGATTTTAAAGCAAATGATGGAAGTGGCCACAACTGGCCAAGAAAAGGCTTGTTCCATTCCACCCAATTTTACCTGTGCAAAGTCAAGCAAAATACAAAAAGTGGACAGTTGGGCTATGCCTTGTGCGAAAACTTCAGCTGGGAACGAAATTAGAGCCCATACAGTCATACATATATTGTGTGAGTACAATCCACAATGGTCTTCTTACAGTATATGTCATGTTGCGAGGTGGTGGTGGACCCCAAAAAGCAGGCAGGAGGGAGGAGCAGGGTGTACTTGAAGAAGTGTATTGATAAAACACAGAAAACTAAATCCTAAACAAACAAAGTCCGAGCAACAAAACGAATCCAAAGTATCAAACAAAAATCATGACTGAAGCTCAAAAAACTAGAACAGAACCATGACAGAAAAACATGATAGGACAAGCAAACAAACAATGACCCAACACCGAGTGGCCGTGCCAGGAGTCCTTTTAAACAGCTAATGACATAACGACCAACAGGTGTGCAGCTACAGGGAGAGCCCTACAGTGCCACCTGTTGGTCACAAACCGAAACATGACAGTGTGTGTGTGTGTGTGTGTGTGTGTGTGTGTGTGTATATA